AGAAAGGGGAAAACTTGAAATGAATATATCTTAGGGAACTTAAAGGTAGCTCCAATAGGCGGTAAGATGAGGAGAAGTAAACTTAGGTGGTCTGGCCATATACAACATTGACCTAGAACAGCATCGATTACGATAAGTGATTTGGTTCAAGTGGAAAACTCTAAAAAGGCAAGGGGTAAAAATAGGATTATGTGACCTGAGCAAGTATGTACCGTTTAAAATTTTTCTTTCTTTTCTTTTATTTCTACCATATGGATCACTTACAAGTGTCCAAATACAACTTTTGATTCAAGAACATAACAAAGTAATGCCAAAGATTCTCACTTGCATGCCATCATACAAAATTGCATTCAATACATGAATCTCAAAATTACATGTAACTTTCAATGAGCTCAAGAAAACATGGAAGACGATAATATCGAATACCTTGCTTCATGTTACCCCCAAGGGCATGCTCGGTAGGTAGCCTATTTGTAAGAGTTCACTTTTTGTTTATTCGGCATAAAGCGGCAGTCAGAACAGAGTGGCAAATGCTTTTAGTCGAAGGTTGATTCTATTAACTACCATTACAGCTGCTATCACTGGGTTCAAGTTTATGAAGGATCTTTATGTAGATGATGATGACGACTTCAAGGAGATATGAGACAAGTATTGCAGTGGATTTAGTGAGAATTTTCTTATTCAAGATAGATTTCTCTTTAAAGGAAACTGCCTTTGTATTCCTGCAGATTCCCTTAGAGAAACCCTAATAACAAAGCTTCATGGGCGAGGTATTGATGGACATTTTGGTCGAGACAAAACCATAGTATTGGTGGAGTCAGAGTACTACTGACCAAAATTGAGGAGAGACGTTGTGCAGTTTGTTGAGAAGTGTCGTACGTGTCAGCTGAGTAAGGGGCAACGACAGAATACGGGTAGGCTTTATTCGCCACTTCCTATTATTAATGCATCATGGGAGGATGTTAACATGGATTTTGTGCTAGGACTTCCCTAAACTCAAAGAGGTATGGATTCTATATTTTGTGGCGGTGGATAGACTTTCAAAGATGGCTCACTGAATACCTCGCAAGAAGGCATTGGATGCCACATATGTTGCTAACTTGTACTTCAAAGAAGAGGCAAAGTTACATGTTGTTCCGAAAATAATAGCTTCATATCGAGATACGAAGTCTCTCAGCCATTTTTTGGGAACTTTGTGGAAGAAATTGGGCACTCAGTTACAGTTTAGTAGTGCTTATCATCCACAAACAAACGGCCAAACTGAAGTGGTAAACCGTACTCTTGGCAATCTTCTAAGAACTATTGTGAGGGAAAGAAGAAATAGCAGGACCTAGAACTGCCTCAAGTCGAGTTTGGTTGTAACAATGTTCACAACAGTTCTACTGGTAAGGGTCTGTTCGAGGTGGTATATGGGAAAAACCCCACTCATTCACTTGACTTGGTTCTTATCCAAGCCAATGGAGAAGGTCATGCCACTATTGAGGGCTTGGTTGAACAGATGAAAGGAGTGCATGAACAAGTGTGTGCTAGTCTAGAAGCCAATACAACCAAATACAAGGAAGCTGACAAACATCATCGTTTCAAGGAGCTTAATGTGGGAGACTGGGTAATGGTGTATCTCAAGAAGATACGGCATCCAGTGGGAAAGTATAATAAGCGGAATGATCGCAAGGCAGGATCATTCAAGAATTTTAAAGAAGCCGGGTAGCAATGCTTACAAGGCCGCTTTGCCTTCACATATGGAGACTTCCGAGTTTAGACATCTTCAACATTGTGATCTGTCAAAATATCCTCGAGGGTGAATTCTCCTCAATCCAAGGAGAATGATGATGATCAAAGCACAGCAAGTAGCCATGAGTATTTTCTTTGGGAGAGACAGAGTCCTCCTAATTCTCGCTCATATTTGGAGGATGAAAACCCTATGAGTGATCCCAAGAAGCACAAGAAGAGCAAGAAATAGTTTGAATCGTTTTTATAGTTGTTTTGGGGCTATTTCAGATATTTTATTTATTTCATTGCTAGACCAATTAGGGATATTTTACACCTTTTAATTAAAGTTAGGGAGTTTGATTTGGACCTTTTATTCAAAAGTTTCATTGTATGGAAACATATTTTCCAAAACATTTCATAGAAGTCCGGTGTGGATGGATGGATGGCTGGCTGGAAAGGGAACCGCATCACGATTTGTTTGGTTGAGATTTCTTGTTGATTTTACTGTTTCTGAAGTTCTCTAAATCACAATGGGAGGCTATGGCTAAGGGAAAGCTACCTAGGAAGAAGACTGATGGATAATGGACCCCTCCACCTGAGGGTAGTATGAAGCTAAACTTTGAAGGATCATTTACAGTCACTTTTGGGTTTGCAAGTGTTGGAGGAGTCCTTCGAACCACAAAGGCAATATACACAAGTCGTTCTCAATACTATTGGGAAGGTGTGACTCTCTAGACAACGCCAGAGGCGCTTATAAATGAAGGATATGCAAATGTTAGTGTGCAAGTGTCAAGGCATAAAGAATGCCCTTAGGGCCCACACAATGCATTTGAATAAAAAATTTCCTTACTGGAGAACTTCAAGCTCTCCATCTCTCCTTTGGAGAAGGAATTGCTAACTCTCATGTACAAGAAGGAGAACACAAAGCGACTTCCAGAAGTTAAAATTTTTAACTTACTAGGCATAATATACCAAGTTCCACACAGAATTTAGTAATACTGATTTTGTATTAAGTGACATTAACAATCAAAAAAAAAAAAAGGTGCAGTTCCTAACTTCGTAGTTACCTCTCATTTAGAATATAAGAATGAGAGAGGTGATGGGGCATTGCACTCTTGTCAATTGTCATCACAACCCACTGCAACATGGAGATATATAGGTTCTTGTTCCAACTAAATCGTGGTTGGAGCTGGACTACAGTGACAGTACATAGAAAATACTCTAAGACAATCAATATGGCTAACAGAACTCCCATATAATCTTTAGTCTATCCCCTAAGAGAGGATATAAGACTTTACATGGGACATTTACACTTCTAATGGTGATTTGGATCTAATCAACGTGAACCACTAGGAGGGACCAGAGAGCATGGATAATCCTCAAAAAGGTAAAATTGTACTAGTACCTAAGCACCACTTGTACCCAATGGGGTGAGATTACGATGGAGGACACCATCAAAGTTAACCTTGACGTGACCCACTAGGAAAGGAGCTAGACAGCATCAATGGTTGTCTTTGGGATTAGATTGGGAGCAACAACTTGTCGTCCACAAATATGATCCAAAAGAAAGTATACCCAAAAGTACTTCTAGGTCAAGGCCTACATGATAGTACACCCTATGACCCCTTAGAAATTGCTAATGCTCACGAGTACTAATCTTCTGCTATTCTATTTCTTTCCAATGGGCCAACCAATAACCCTAAACGATAAGGAGGGAGCAAAGCAACCAAAGGAGATGCCCTCTTTGGAAACTCAAAGTATGGTTAGACCACACTCGAGCTACTCTAAGTTAAGACTATGACGGATGACCAGATATATCTTACAAAGGACAATGGATAAATAGGAGGCCAGCCATTTCTTCATCCTCTCAAAATATAACACACTTGGGAACCTATGTTGAAGGAGATCAATGAAGGATTTATCAATGCCAATCAACGATACAAAGGAAAAAATTTGGAGGTGGAGCATTACTCCATCAGACCAGATGTCCTAGAGATATTGAATAGCCTTCCGGTAATTGTGCACCAAAGAATCTCATAAATAAACATCTAGTGTCTCAGCCCTTCAAATTACTTAATTTAAGTACTATTGAAGGATAAAACACCATGCAAGGGATTCAGGAATCCACCTAAGTCTTGCAGCTCATAATGATTGAAGTCCATACAGAGGAGGGGGCACCACAGTACTATCATTGGATGCAAAGCAATAACACTACAAGCAACCTAATCAATTGCCTAGTATCAAAATGAGGTGAAGGATTCCCATCCAGATGTTTGAACAAGAGGACATAGGCCGTCCATTTGCCAGCTATCATCATCATACCCCTCCAAAAAAGTGTTAGAAACCGTCCGTATACCTCTCTGAATCTCAATTGCCTAATTGTAACAAAGCATAAGGCAATATTAGGATTCCAAGCTTCTGAAGGACATAATATGCACAAAGAAATCCCATCGAATAATTACAGGCAAAACTAAGCTGCCTAGCTGAGATGCACTCGAAGGGATATGGGTCCCTTTGAAGATGAAAATTTGGTTCCATGTGATGCAAATGTAAAAATCCTAGTTCAATTTCAAACAAAAAAAAAGGAAGAAAGACAAGAATCTAGAATTCCGAGTCCACAACCTTGAAATTACTATATTGGCCACAGACACTAAAGTGATAGTAAACAAGCATTAGCAGCTCAACATTTTGTAGTGTTAAGAAAAAGAAGAAAGGTTATTGAAACCAAATCCTTGGCAAACAAGGTGTTTGAACTGAGATAATGCCTGCAAAGTGCAAGGAGAAAAATAAGGAACGCAAGAGCTGATTTTTTTTTTTTTTTTCCCTTTTAGAAAAATAAAAAGGAATAAGAGCGGGTGCCAGTGATATGCCAAGAATACAAGAGAGCTCCTAAGAATGGAAGAAAAAGGAATATAAACTAAAAATCCAAATTAACCAAAAAATAACCGTACAAGAAATAGAATAACAGAGGAGAAGAGAGAGAAAAAACTAAAATGTTTATCACTCACTACAAAAAATTGATCACTGAAAATTTTCTCAACTTGACAGAACAATGATGAAACATGGAAATGAGAACAAAAAAAATACTAACAGTCACAAATATTTAACACCTATTAACATAAACTAATGCTACCTGTGACATACATCAATCTGCCAAATTCATGCAGAAGCACAAGAGTGAAAATCTCAACAATTAAAAAGGTGGTACACAAATATCAAATTCAAAAAAGCAAAGTTCAAAAAACCACAAAAATGGATAATGAATGGTTCTATACAAGAACCATGGTTACCTCTTTTGGATGAGATGTGTATGGATGGCTGGTGTATCTAGAAGCTTCAAGAGCTTCCTCCAAATCAGAATAGCTACTGATATCTCTACTAATGCAATCACTGAGCAAACGCCCAGCAGCTGCAACATCCGGGCCAAACAACTCATCCTCCCAAGACATTTTGGCTTAAAAACCACGCCCCAATTGAGTAGTTCTTCCCCGAAAGATGGATTCAAAACCAGGCGCTGATTCACTCCTAACTAGGGCACAAAACCACGCTCTCAATCGGTACTTCTTATCTGGAACTTCGGCATTAGGGTTCAAAAAGCCCGAGTTCTCTAGGGCTTCCTCGATTATTGGTAATCAATTGAGAGAGAGAGAGAGAGAGAGACCTGCACTGTGAAAGGAGCTGAAAATTTGGGAGGGGTTTGAGGGTTGGCGGGTTCTCAACCTGTCGTGTGGTTTCAAATCAGAGAATGTAGCGATCCCATAAAATGGTCTACACAGTCAAAGTAACAATATGATCATGAGGTTATCACCGTCACATCAATACACTGGTTGGTGATGGATGAGCTTAACTCCGATAAAAAAAAGTACATGATACGCGCACTCTCACTGTCACAGTCCGCATCCATTGCACGTACGTAACATGTGACCATATGTATCACTGCTGCTAGCAAGAGACACGTGCTCCGTACGTATTTTGGGCAATGATTTAGAGAATTTTATTTTTTTACGCTTAAAAAATTATCAAATTCATTTGTGGCTAGCAATTCTTGTTATTCAGGAATTTTAGCTAAGTATATTTGATGTAAAATATGTTATTATTTTTAAAATAGGAACTATACAATATGAGACCATAATTAATAATAAAAAGTATTACCATAAAGATTTAGGAAAACTTTTTATACTTTCCCTTCAACAGATAACAAATATACTTCCTCTCCTTTCCGATCGTTCAATTTAAATAGGCACATGAGATTATCCCACTCAAAATGTCACTTTTTGAATGCTACAGGCTCAATCGATAGCCCGTAATAGAGAGAAAGAGGTGCGCAGCAACATAGAAAAAGAGTAAAAATACAATGAGACCCTCCTACACCCATGTGAATAAGACTCCAAATGATCAACATTAAATTTTGACACAAATCTCTAAAAAAGTTATCAATAAACCCATTCACCCAAGTCTCGCATCTATACCATAACTTTTTTAGAAATCTGTGTCAAAATTTAATGGTGATCATTTGGGGTCCTACTCACATGGATGCGATAGCGTCTCATAGTGTCATTACTCATAAAAAAAAGAGGAGGGAAAAAGAAACATGTTTGAGAGAAAGAAGGGGAAGAAGGAGAGAGAGAGAGAGAGAGAGCACGAGATAAATAAAAGCTATAAAGAGAACGAACAAGAGGGAGAGGGGAAGGAGGGATGGCCCATCTGAGATAAAGAGAGAGAACGTGAACCCAAGAATTAGTTGATCTTTATTTTCAAACTCAATTTGAGTATAGAAAGCAGGTAAATCTCTTCATTGATCTACATATTGACTCGCTTTTCCTCTTCATTGTACTTTTTTTGTATATTTATCTATCTATAGCATTAATATTCATCTTTCTCTCTCCACATATATATATATATATATATATATATTGGAAAAGATGGGATTAGCCTACTAGCTCATATGAACATATGAGTCCAACGTCCCATATTGAATCTAGACCGATCAGAAGATCACGGATGTCCGGTAGTGTTTGAATTTTATTTTTTTAAAAAAAAATCTAAATCACTTGAAATTTTAGGTGTGTGTTCTTCAAATATAGGTGAATCTTCAAAAAATATCAAAAAAATATTTTACATGAAATATATTGACTAAAATGCCCCTGAAAAGTTTCAAGAGGTATTTTAGTCTTTTTTTTGCGAATAATTTGTTTTATATTTTTATTAGGTACGCCTTAATGAGAAAAATATACACTTTTAAGTGATTTGGATATGTAGAAAAAACAATAAAATTCAAGTACCACTAAACATTCGTGATCATCATATCGGCCCAGATTCAATCCTGATCGTTGGGCTCATATGTTCATATGAACTAGTGGGCTAATCTCATCTTTTCCCTATATATATATACCTATCTCATCCATTGTCTTCTTCACATGATCCACCCAAAAACTCGTGCTTTTTAGCAAATCCTAGTCAAAGGTGATCTATGCTCTCTGAAACTCCTATTTCTTACGTTTTTTTCTCTTTGAAAAAATATTATCAAAATCATTCTTTAATCTTAATGGGATCCTAAACAACCAAATCATACCATTTTTCTCTCTTTAAAACTATAACCCTAATTTCTCTCTCTAAAATTCCAATATGTAAATCAATTCGTTATTTGTTATTTACACATTGGTAAGCTCATAAATTATCTTAGTGCTTTTGATATCTATTTTATATAAATTGCATTTTAAAAACTTTATTAATTTGTCTTAATAGCCATAAGGAGTTTTCAGTTTTTAAATTTACCCAAAAGGGCAAAGGGGTCATTTTGATTTCAAGTTTGTATAAAAACATTATGGGGTTTATTTTTTTACCCCAAAGGAGTCTCTAAACTTATTTATGAGCATGTAAAATAATTTATGAGAATTGAAAGTACCTTTTATGGATTGAAAAAAAAAAAAATTCTCATTAAAATTATTTTTAGGGTGTTATTTGTGGCATTATAAGACTTTCGAGTTCATTCGTAGTTCGATTGAGGTAACCGATATCGAAGATCAGATATTGGGTATAAAATGTCAGTTTGTAATCTTTATTTGAGTTTTATTTTTCCAATTTGAGATGTCTTCTGCAGAGTCTAGTAGGGGTGGATATCCGAGATGAAAATATTGTGCTAACCATTATAAGAATGATATAAATAAAATTATGTGCAATATTTGTTAAACATGTTTCTAATGCCAGCATAAATAGATTTAAGAAACACTTTGCTGATATTATCGGTGAAGTTGCACCATGTAAGAAAGTTCTAGATCTTGAAAATAAATAAATTTGTAAACACATTGAAGGTGAAAAGAGTAAAAAAATTACAAAAAAAAGGATAAAGCATATAATAATATTGACACTGAAGAATATGATGAAGAGGGGGAATAAGAGGTAGTCATGGTTGGTACTTAGAGCTCTAAGAACAATATGGCTTTTGAGTCTAGGAAGCCTCGTATGAAAGGGTATCTAGATAGTTTTTTTACACCTAGCCTTGATACAATAATTGAGAAAGGCAAGGGAAAAAAGGGGAAAAACAAGTGACAATTGAAAATATATTTAAGAAGATAGAGAAAGGGTAATTCAGTATATTACTCGGTAGTTTTACCATGCGGGCATATTTTTTGACATTGCTTGTTTGAATAGCTTTTATACAATGTTGGAAGCAATTAGGCAATTTGGGCCAGGTTTGAAAGCTCCAACTCCTTATGAGATTAGAGAGCCACTACTGAAGAAATAAGTCGATTATACGAACGCATATCTCAAAACCCATAAAGAGGGATGGGCTAAACTTGGGTTTCTTTAATGACAAATATGTCGAGTGATAGCAGGAGGAGGAGTAACATACATCTGTTAGTAAATTGTCCCATGGGTACAGTTTTTTTACGCTTAATTGACGCTTTTACTGATATTCATGATGTACATTATATATTTTTATTTTATTGATAAAAGCATTGAGGAGGTTGGGGAGAAACTTGTAATTCAAGTAGTCACAGATAATGTTACTCCTAATCTAGTTGCAGGTCGTTTGCTTTGACAGAATATAGCTTGCATATTTTAGACTCCATACACAACACATTGCGTAGATCTTATGCTCGAGGCAATCGGTGAATTGCCTATTATTAAATGAATTCTTTTTAAGGCTAAGGAGGTTACAATCTTCATATACAGTCACATACTTACCCTTAGCATGATGAGCAAGTTTACAAAAACGATAGAGCTAGTGAGACCTGGGGTCACTAGATTCGTCATTGCCTACCTTAGTCTACAGAGCATGTATAAAAGGAGGATCGCATTAAGGTTTATATTTGCTTTAGAGGAGTAGAGTAGGTGTAAGTAGTCTAAAGACGCCAAGGGAAAGAAGGCACATGATATTGTTATTTCAAAATATTTTTGGCTGAGGTGAAGCATACAATATTAGTATTTCTTCTCTTGGTGAATGTCTTGTGCTTGGTTGATGCTGATAAGCCCTCCACATGCTTTATATGTGATGCAATGGAAATGGCTAAGAATGAGATTGTAGATAATTTAAGTATGCCCCAATTTAGGAGATTATAGATGACAAATGCGATATGTAGCTCCATAGACCATTGCATGTAACGGGGTACTACTTGAACCCCAAATTCTTTTATGCATACGTAAATATTGAGTCAAAGGGGATAATTATGGAAGGTTTTAATGAGTGCCTTGAGAAATTAGTTCTCGATTCACATATCTAAGATAAGCTATCAACTGAAGAGCTAATTTCGTACAAGTGTTATTTGATGTCATTTGGGAAAGATATGGCATTAAGACAGTTAAACAAAGACAAACCAAGTAGTATACCTTTGACTTTTGTTTTATAAATTATAAATTATTTCAAGTTTTGATAATATTAAATACCTAAATTAATTATAAAGGTTGCCCACATATTGCAACCCAATGGTGGAGACAACACGGGAGTAGCTCTCAAAACCTCCAGAAGATGGCTATACGGATCTTGAGTTTGACAACTACCTCTTCTGGTTGTGAGTGCAATTGGAGTTCGTTTGAGATGATATTTTACAATTTTATATGTATTTCTTGCTTATAAGCTCATTTTGTAATGTAGATTCACATAAGATAAGAAGATCATAGACTCATAACAGTTATGCATTTTTCCTTATAGATGCATACAAAGAGAAGAAATAAGCTTGAGCAAAAGAAGCTCAATGACTTGATTTTTGTTGGAGATAATCAAAGGCTCGAGGAGAGGAAAAACTAGCCAAAGAATAATCCTATCTCTTCGAAAATACATGGAGAATGCTTCAGATTGGCTAGTTAGTGACCATAGTACTGAGAAGGTCTTTCCTAATGAAGGTTTGACATGGGAAATGGTTGAGGAGCCTACGGGGCAAGCTTCTAATCCTAAGAGGGCCACTCGAGCAACTTCTTCTACTGGTACTTCACAGAAGGAGATAGATGAAGATGAAGCATATGCAGAAGAATCTATGGAAGAAGAGGAATATGTTGAAGTGGGTGATGATTCTGAGGATAACGGTCTCAATTCTGATGCAGATGAAAGCAATGAAGATTATGATTTTGATTCTTATTGATGGATTCTCTCTTCTTTTGTAGTAACTTTATTGCATCATCTTAGTTTGAGCTGTAGGCATTTTGACTATTTTTATTTTGTTATGTGGTTTATACTTTTTTTGTCTATTTGGACTATTTGGTTGTGTGGTTTACTAGTCTTTTATAGTTTTGGAAGTC